CGCAAGGGCAGCGAAGAACGGGCCGCTCACGGGCCTGGCACAGCCGCCCAAACCGCGCGCAGGCCACGACGGGCGACGAGGGGCGACGCGCGGGTCCCCGTCGCCCGTCACAGCGCCTCCCGGGAGCGACGCGCGGAGTGACTGGGCAGAAACCCGCCGCGTGCCTCGAGGCGCACGGCGGGCAGAAAACCGCCACGCGCCTCGGGGCGCACGGTGGGAAGAAAACCGCCGCGTGCCTCGGGGCGAACGGCGGGCAGAAAACCGCCGCACGCTCTGAGCGCGCGGCAGAATGAAAAATCCGTCGCACGCCACGGGGCGTGCAACATACAGAGTAGCAGTAGCAGTAGCAACGGAAGCAGTGAGGTGGTGAGCCCACCCACAGGATCGATCCAAGGGGATCGACCTGCTCTGATAGCATGTGAAAATTATGAGTGGAAAGTTAAGAATGAAGAAGAGAGGGTTCACTAGAAAGCAGCACGATACATATAGGAAACCCTAAGGGGTTGTACTCGCTATAGAGTACCCCACTGCATGCTAGAGAACAACAACATTCTAATAGTTGAACCTTTTGTCAGCTACCTTACGCTTGTAGTACCGATCAATAGTGTGCCCGGGCTTCTTACAGTATTTGCATAAAGTTTCCTTCTTGCCATGCTGCTTCCCTTCAGACCCTCCAGCATAGAGGACTCATTTCTCCTGCTTTCTGTTTTTCTCATTGTACAGATCAATTTCCTTTTGCTTGGAGAGAAGCGTGGCGCACAGAGCGGACTTGGCGATGGTTGCTCGAGCACGGAGCAACGATTGGCACTGTCGCCAATCAGGTCCAAGGCCGGAAAGAACCATGGAGACGAACATGTCGTCAGAAACGGTTCCGCTGCACTTCTTAATATGGTCGCGCAGATTTCGGCATCGAATGATATACGGTCCCGCTTTCTCCCCTTGTTGCATTTTAACCGATGTAAGTTGGCTGAGCAGGCGACTCATTGTAACGGGATATGTTCCCATGTATGAGCTGCGCAGGCACTCCCAAGAAGCGTACACGGGCGCCCACTCTAGTGAAGAAATGAGGAAAATGAATGAACTAGCACAAGGTTGGGTACAAGTAGGAAACCCTACGAAAATGTACCCCATAGTGTCTACCCCACTATAGCCTAGACAAGCTATATGAAATGAGTTTGACACACCCCCATAGGCAAAGTGGGGGAGAACAAGAGGTCAGAAGACCAGTCAAGCAAAGCAAAGCAAGCTCACGGTGGATCACAACGTCACCACACAATCCGGGCACAAGAGCAAGGCCACAAGGCCAGTTCACATGCAAGATCATATATAAAGGTAAACAAGCAAGTGCAGGTATAGAAAGATCACAGTACAAGCAAGGTCAAGAGGTGAGCAACTAAGGCCAAGTAGGCACAATACCTAGCATCCTACAGTAGCGCTGATGATCACAAGGCGGAAGTGCCTTGGTAAAGATATCAGCAGTGTTGACCTCAAAGGCCACGTAAGCAAGGCGCAGCTGACCACGCTGTTGCAGCTCACGAGCAAGGAAGTAGCGAAGAGCAATGTGCTTCGTTCTGTGCTCCAGTCTGTGCTCCCGACACAAGGCCAGCATGGCCTTGTTGTCTACGTACAGAACTGGAGGAGAACAAGGCGGCTCTCCTAGGTCAGTCAGCAGGTAGGTGAGCCAGCGTAGCTCCTGTGCAGCCATGGCCCCCGCGTAGATCTCAGCCTCACAGCTGGAGGTGAGAACAGAAGACGAGCGGGTAGACCACCACGAAACAGAGCCGGAGCCAAGGCTGAAGGTGTAACCCTGTGACGACCGCTATGTCGGCTGGTCATAAGCCCAAGAAGCATCTGCGTGACCTTTGAGGACCACTCGACGTCGCCCTCCAAGCACTAGCCCCATGCCCGACAAACTGCACAAGTAGCGCAACACCCTCTTCGCTGCAGCCATGTGCTCTGGCCGGTGTCTCCCAGGAGCAACATAGCGTGCCAAGATGCTAAGAGGGTATGCAAGGTCAGGTCGTGTGCAGGTCATCAGGTACATGAGGCATCCAACAAGCTCTGGGTACGGGCCACTCGACTCTACAGACTCATCCGAAGGCAGAGCTAAGAGCAAGTGGCGAGTAGACAGAGGAGTGGCCTGAGGCGACGAGTACGTGAAGTCGAAGCGCTGAAGGACCTGCTGCACCATGTGTGACTGAGTCAAGGTAATGGTGTGCTGTGCTCTGTCCCGGGTGATCTGCAAGCCAAGGTAGCTGCGTAGTTCACCCAGGTCTGTGCACGTGTATCTCTTTTGTAGCTCGGACTTCACGTGGGCGAGTCCAGTAGTGTCAGCAGTGGCAAAGACCAAGTCGTCGATGTACACGAGGATGTAGAACGGCAGCAAAGAGGTGTCAGTGCGGAGAAATAGCGACGAGTCGGCTGTAGAAGGAGCAAACCCAAGAGCCGCAAGTGTAGTCCTCATTGTGTCGTGCCACTCACGGGGTGCCTGGCGACGACCGTAGACTAGCCGTCGGAGGCTCCACTGGGTACCAAGAGGAAACGACCCAGTGAAGCCAGGTGGGCGGCGCAGCCAGATCTCCTAGTGCAGGCTGCCCTGCAGGAAAGCTATGCTGAAGTCAAGAGAGTGAAGCTCATAGTCGCGCTGAGCGGCTATGTGCAGCAGCACCCGAAGAGTGGTCATCTTCGGGGTGGGAGAGAAGGTCTGAAAGTAGTCAACTCCCTGCTGCTGACTGAAGCCACGAGCCACGTAACGCGCCTTGAAGACAGGCGGAGAACCCGGCGGCCGCTTCACCCTGAAAATCCACATGCCACTGACGATGTTCGCCCCAGGTGGGGGAACCTCGTCAACGTAGGTGCCTGTGGACTTCCAGGAAGCCATCTCTGCGTCCATGGCTGATTGCCACTAAGAGGAGTAGGGACCCTCGACCGCCTCAGCGTACGATCGAGGAGTCGGGATGTTTGGTGCATCCGGGTCTCCCTCAAGGGCGATCAGCGTGGACACGAGATGAGGCAAAGCAGCAGCAAAACACTGGAACTCCTCCTGCTTGTCCTCAAGGACGTCCGTTCTAAGAGCACACTCACCCCCAACGGACGGAGGACAAACAGACTCAGACTCAGCAACAAGCATAGTAGCGTAGTCCAGACGACAGCTAGCAGCAAAGTCGCTAAGCTCAGCAACTAGGGCCGACGCAGAAGTGGACTCAAAGGAAGGGTCAGTGGCAATAGTAGCCAAGAGACGCGTGACAGTAGGACTGGCAGCACGAAGAGAGGACTCTAGAGGAGACGGCAACAAGACACGCAGAGGAGCAGTGGAAGGACGCAGTGCCATCTGGTGTGTGCCTGGGACCGCAGGAGGACACGGACGCGGAGCACGACGACTAGTGCGAGCAGCACGAACAGGCGACGAAGGACGAGACGCAGGCTCACGACGCTCAGCAAGACCTCTAGTAGGACCAGAGTAGGGAGAAGGAGCAGGTAGGGGGGAGGCGGGCTATAACTGTGACTGCGACTGGACAGGCTGTGGACACTCTAAGGTAGGAGAAGGACCAGTAGAGGGCGGGATACCAAGAACCTGCTCAAGGAGCGGAAAGAAGTACAGCCTCGGCCGCGCAGCGCCTCCAGAACCAGCAGGGACAGTACCAGTACTGTTATAATATATCTATAACTGCCTGTAGCTGTAGTTAGTGTAGTTATTATAAACTTCTTGGTGGTGCACCTTCTTTGCATGCTTTGTTTGCTATTTGTACCTCGCTTAATAGTGAACTCCCCACTCTTTGCCTAAACTCTCTCGACTCCCTTTGGCCTAGGCTACTAAGCCTAGGCCCTACTCTTACTATCTCAACAAGTACCCCCAGCGGCAGCACCAACGCCAGTAGCACCTCCAGCTTCAACAGCGCCAACTCCAGCACCCTCAGACGCACCAGCGCCAGCAGAACCACCAGCGCCAACACCCCCAGCAGCTCCACCTCCAGCAGCTCTAGCAGCACCAACTCCAGCAGGACTGGCAGCTCCAGTACCTCCAGCAGCTCCAGCAGTTCCTCCAGCAGGACCATCTCCAGCAGCCCCAGCAGCACCCCCAGTCCCAGCAGCTCCAGTACAGCCAGTACGAGCACCTCTGGGACCAGCAGTAACAGTAGTACCTCCAGCTCCAGTAGCACGGCTCCAGCTGCACGGCTCCAGCGGCGGGCAAACCACTTGCGCAGCTCCTGCGGAGAGAGTAGCTCCCGCCTCGACGAAGCACCGCGAGAGGCCACACGAGCAGACCCAGCACCCGCAGGCTCAGCACCCCGAGGCTCAGCACCCCCAGACTCAGCAACCCCACACTCAACACCTCCAGACTCAGCACCCCCATGCTCGGCACCCTTGGACTACAGCAGAGCCTCTGTCGGAGGAAACTCAGAGGAGTGAGGGGCGGCGCGCTGTCGCCCCTCGACGTAGGGGACGCAGGTAGGGGCAAGCTCCGGAGGTAGGGGAGGGAGAGACCGGGGGAGACCAAAGACAAGGACACGGGAGGCCATGCCTCGGAGACGAGGCAAGGAGGGGTGACCAAAGCGGTGGTGCCAAAGGAGAGTCTGGTGGGATAGGAGACGACAAGAGCAGGGAGCAGACTCAGGACAAGACTTGGACGGTGCAGCAAACACCTGACTTGACGCAGCTACCTGACAAGACTTAGCAATCGGAGGAGACTCAGTAGTAAGTATGTACAGGCTCGACCCCGACTGACGGGTGAATGTGGCCAAGTGTCGGCCCGTCCGAGCACACGTGCAGTGGGTCACCCGCTGACTCACAGGAGTGAACTGGTCAACCCCCTTATCATGTAGATCAGCTCCACTCACCAAGTTCGTAGAGAACGAGGGGAGGTAGTGACCTGACAGGGTGCCAGAGGGGGCTGCCGGACATGGTAAGACAGTGGAAAAGCAAGCAAGGACAGGACCCCCAGAGGGGTCCGCCAGAGAGACCGCAACCGGCTGACTAAGCGGCGTAAGCGTTGTGCGGTCTCAAAAGAAGGAGCGGGAAGCACCCGAGTCAAGGGTGAAGGTGTGTAAGGCCTGAGCCGACGTAGAACCTGAGAGAGCAGACTCACCAGCACCTGGGGCAGCAGACGCACTAGCACCTAGAGCAGCAGCCTCACCAGCACCTAGAGCAGCAGCCTCAATGCTCGGGTCAGGCGGAACACACAGGTAACAGTCACCCTTATCACTATTAGACACAGCATACATGGCAGCAAGAATAGCATCATAATCAAGAACAAAGATAGCAACCCCAGCCCTAGACAGAACGACCCAGTGAGGGATCTCAGTGGCGTCAGGGAACTGGTGACGCCATGCGTCTGTCAGGCGGCCGAAGCAGCGCTGGGTGGAGTGCGGGCCCCCACACTGCTCACCACCACGGTTGCTTGTATAGAGGACGTAGGTGCAGGGACCAGTACCCCCACCTCGCAGACGCCAAGCGTACCACTCACGAAGCTGCTGAGGGGACAGGGTCTCACGAGCGCGCTGCAGCTGCTGGCGCGAACCACCACCGGAACCACTTCTCTGCGTAGAGCCGCGACCAGCTCCACCGCTGCCGCCGCCGTCTCCGCCACCTCCGCCGCCTCCGCCACCTCCGCCGCCTCCGCTTCCTCCGCCACCGCCGCCGCCTCCTACGCCTCCACTGCTGCCACTGACACTGCCACCCCCACCACCACTCCCACCACCACCCCCACCCCCTCCAGTGCCTCCACCACCACCTCCACCACCCTCGCCAGCCCCTCCAGTGCCCTTGCCCCCCTTGCCCTTGCCGGTGCGGCGTCTCCCGCTAGAGGCAGACGCAGCGCCGACCGACTCGAAACCAACGAGGTCGGCCGCAGCAGCAGAAGCAAGAGAGGGCAAGAGGGGGGAGGGGGAACACCCCTCAAAGACTGGGGTGCGAGGGTCACCACGAGAGGCTCCTACAGCGACTATGCTCTTCGCTGCTGCTAGGAGGCGCTCCTTGAGGAGGTCAACGTTGAGTGTGGTGAGGCAAACTGAGAGGAAGTGGTCCCTGACTATGTAGTAGAGGGTGATGTACATTGGAGGGGGGGGTTCTTGGCACAGAACTCAGCAGGAAGCGCAGCGTGGTAGCGAGTGTTGCTAGTGCGAAGGTGCGTAATGAGGTCAGCGACTGTGGGAAAGGAAGCAAGGTCAAGGAACAGGTATGGCAGAATGAGGCTGCTAAGCGCAGCAGTGGCAGGGGAAGAGTAGCGTGCAACTACAAAGTCATACAAGGTCTGTGAGAAAACTAGAACGAGAATGAATGAACTATGAAAGAGTTGGGTACAAGTACTAACCCTAATTGGGTTGTACCCCTTATGGGCTACCCCACTACAGCCTACACAAAATGCATAAACTCTAATGTTCTGACACACCCCCATAGGCAAAGTGGGGGAGAAAAAGGGGTCACAAGACCAGTCAAGCAAAGCAAAGCAAGCTAAGAGTGGATCGCAAAGTCACCACACATTTCAAGCACAAGTTCAAGGCCACAAGGCCACTTCACATGCAGGAGTACATGTATATATAAATGGCTAGACAAGTGAGAGCAGGAGTATATATATATGTAACAATACAAACAAGGTCAAGAGGTGAGCAAGTGATGCAAGGCAGGCACAAGACCCAGCTGAGTACAGAAACGCCGATGACCACAAGGCGCAAGCGCCTTGGTGAAGATATCAGCAGTGTTGGCCTCAGAGGCCACGTACGCAAGACGCAACTGACCACGCTGCTGCAGCTCACGAGCAAAAAAGTCGCGGAGAGCAATGTGCTTCGTTCTGCCCTCCAGTCGCTGCTCCCGACACAAGGCCAGCATGGCCTTGTTGTCTACGTACAGCACTGGAGGAGAACGAGGCGACTCTCCGAGGTCAGTCAGTAGGTAGGTGAGCCAACGAAGCTCCTGAGCAGCCATGGCTCCTGCGTAGATCTCAGCCTCACATCAGGAGCCGAGAACAGAAGACGAGCGAGTAGCCCGCCACAAAACAGAGCGAGAACTAAGGCTGAAGGTGTAACCCTGTGAGGACCGCTGCGTAGCCTGGTCGTCACCCCAAGAAGCGTCTGCGTGCCCAGTGAGGACCATTGGATTCTGCCCTCCAAGCACAAGCCCCATGCCCGACGTACTGCACAAGTAGCGCAACACCCTCTTCGCTGCAGCCATGTGCTCCGGTCAGTGTCTCCCAGGAGCAACATAGCGTGCGAGAATGCTAAGAGGGTATGCAAGGTCAGGTCGTGTGCAGGTCATCAGGTACATGAGGCAGCCAACAAGCTCTGGGTACGGGCCACTCGACTCCACGGACTCATCCGAAGGCAGAGCTGAGAGCGAGTGGTGAGTAGGCAGAGGAGTGGCCTGAGACGAGGAGTACGTGAAGCCGAAGCGCTGAAGGACCTGCTGCACCATGTGTGACTGAGTCAGGGTAATGGTGCGGCGTGCCCTGTCCCAGGTGATCTGCAAGGCAAGGTAGTTGCGCAGTTCACCCAGGTCTGTGCACGTGTGTCTCTTCTGCAGCTCGGACTTCACGTGGGCGAGTCCAGCAGTGTCAGCTGTGGCAAAGACCAAGTCGTCGACGTACACGAGGATGTAGAACGGCGGTAGAGAAGTGTCGGTGCGCACAAACAGCGACGGGTCGGCAGTAGAGGGAGCAAAGCCAAGAGCCGCAAGTGTAGTCCTCAATGTGTCATGCCACTCACGCGGTGCCTGGCGGAGACCGTAGACTGGCCGCCGGAGGCTCCACTGGGTGCCAGGAGGAAAAGTCCAAGTCAAGCCAGGTGGGCGGCGCAACGAGATCTCCTCGTGCTGGCTGCCCTGCAAGAAAGCAGTACTGAAGTCAAAAGAGTGTAGCTCGTAGTCACGGTGAGCAGCTATGTGCAGCAGTTTCCGAACAGTGGTCATCTTCGGAGTGGGAGAGAAGGTCTGAAAGTAGTCAACTCCCTGCCGCTGACTGAAGCCACGAGCCACGTAACCCGCCTTGAAGATAGGCGGAGAACCCGGCGGCCGCTTCACCCTGAAAATCCACATGCCACTGACGATGTTCGCCCCAGGAGGGGGAACGTCGTCAACGTAGGTGCCTGTGGACTTCCACGAAGCCATCTCTGCGTCCATAGCTGCCTGCCACTGAGAGGAGTAGGGACCCTGTATCGCCTCCGCGTAAGAGCGCGTAGTCGGGATGTCAAGTGCATCCGGGTCTCCCTCAGGGGTAAGCAGTACGGACTCGAGATGAGGTGAAGCAGCGGCCAAGCACTGGAACTCCTCCTGCGTGTCCTCAAGGACGTCCGTGCCAAGGGCACACTCACCCCCGACGGACGGAGGAAAGACAGACTCAGACTCACCAAGAAGACTGGCGGCGTAGTCTAGGCGACAGCGAGCAGCAAAGTCGATGAGCTCAGCAACTAGGGCAGACGCAGCAGTGGACTCAAAGGAAGGGTCAGTGACAGCAGTAGCAAGGAGACGCGTGACAGTAGGACTGGCAGCACGAAGAGAGTCCGACTCCGGGTCGGCAAGAGCAGGAAGAGAATACTTAGGAGGAGAAGGTAAAGGGGCACGCAGAGGAGCAGTGGAAGGACGCAGAGACATCCGGTGCGTGCCAGGGACATGAGGAGGTCGCTGGCGCGAACCGCGACCACTAGTGCGAGCAGCACGGACAGGCGACGCAGGGCGAGACACAGGCTCACGACGCTCAGCAAGACCTCTAGTAGGACCAGTGTAGGGAGACGGAGCAGGCAGTGGGGAGGCCGGTTGTAACTGTAACTATGACGGGAGAGGCTGTGGACACTCTAAGGGAGGAGGAGGACCAGTAGAAGGCGGGAGACCAAGAACCTCCTGAAGGAGCGGAACGAAATACGGCCAGGGCCGCGCGGCGACTTCAGACACAGCAGGGACAGCACTAGTACCCCCAGCGGCAGCACCAGTACCAGCAGCACCAGTACCAGCAGCACCTCCAGCTCCAGTACCTCCAGCAGCACCAGTAGCACCCCTTGCAAGACCACCTCCAGGACCGACAGTAGTAGCCGCCGCGCCAACACCCGCAGCGGCTCCAACTCCAGAAGTACCCGCAGGCCCAGCAGCTCCAGTACTCCCAGTACGAGCACCTCCGTGACCCGCTGCACCAGCACCCTCAGCAGCAGTAGAACCTCCTGTACCCGCAGCACCTCCAGCTCCAGCAGCACGCCTGTAGCGCCGGGCAAACCACTCACGCAGCTCCTGTGGAGAGAGTGGCTCCCGGCGAGACGAAGCACCCGGAGAACCGCAAGGCACAGCACCGCAAGACACCACACGAGCAGGCCTAGCTCCCTTAGGCTCTGCACTGTCAGAATATTATGCTCTTGCTTGTAGTGGGGTGCTCTATAGCGAGTACAACCCTTCTAGGGTTTGCTATTTGTATCCTCATTCTTGCTAGTGCAACCCTCTTCTCTCTTCTAAATTTCACACGCACCCCCAGGCTCAGTATCTTCAGGCGTAGCACCCCCAGGCTCAGCACCCCCAGGCTCAGCATTCCTAGGCTCAGCACCCCCAGGCTCAGCACCCCCCAGACTCAGCACCCCCAGGCTCAGCACCCCCAGTCGTAGTACCCTCAGGCTCAGCAACCCCAGGCGTAGCACCCACACGCTCAGCACCCCCACAGTCAGCACCCCCAGGCTCAGCACCCTCAGCAGCACCAGAGTCACCAGCAACCTCGACAGGCTCAACTGCGTCTACCTGGGACACACCTGAAGGGCCAGGACCTTGAGGGGGGAGGGGGTCTACCGGAGGGGAACTTGGCACAAGGAAGAGCGGTGGCGAGGGGAGGGACGGAGTTTTGTAGGGGAAGAGACGGTAGTAGGGGACCGACTCGTCGAGCGTGACGTCCTGGGAGGATAGAACACGGCGGGAGGTGGGGTGGTATAACTGCCACCCTGGCGCGTCAGGGGGGAAACCCAAGAAGACGCAAGGAGCAGCACGAGGGGACAGCTTGTCTGAAGACAAGTCGCGGACAAACGCCCGAGATCCCCAGACACGGAACGCAGACGCATCGCCAACCTTCCCCGTCCACAGCAAAGCTGGGGAGGTCTCCGGCATGGAGACCCTGGGCTGAAGGTTGATCTGATGCGCCGCGTACCAAACCGCAAACGGCCACAGAAAATAGGGGGCAGCCGCATGCATCATGGACGTACGGGCGACGTCCATGACCATGCCAATGCGGCGCTCAGCAATCCCATTTTGCTGTGGAGAGTCCGGAAGCGTGAAGGTCTGGCGGATGCCTCGTGCACGACAGTAGGCTCGCAGAAGGCCAGAGGAGAACTCTCCCCCTCTATCGGAGTGCAGACGCAGAACAGAAAAGTCCGAGCCGAAGCTCCGCCTGAGCTGGAGACGAGCTGCACGGATCCAATCGATCAACACTTCAGAGACATCACCCTTGCTGCGCAAGGGGAAGACTGTGGTGTAACGCGAGTAGTCGTCAATCACTAGCAGGAAGTAGCGCTCGTGACCCTGTCCACGGACGCGGGCCGGGCCCCACACGTCCATGTGAAGCGTCTGCAGCGGGGCCTTTGTCGGAGGAAACTGGGAGGAGTGAGGGGCAGCCCGTTGCCGCCCCTCGACACAGGGGACGCAGGTAGGGGCAAGCCCCGGAGGAAGGGGAGGGAGGGACCGGGGAAGACCAGAGACAAGGACACGGGAGGCCTTCCTTGGAGACGAAGCAGGGAGGGGTGACCAAGGCGGTGGTGCCAAAGGAGAGTCTCGTGAGACAGGAGGCGACACGAGCAGGGGGCAGACTCAGGACCAGACCTGGACGCTGCAGCAAACACCTGACCCGACGCAGCTACTTGACCAGACGCAGTGGGTGGAGACGCAGTGGTCAGTGTGTACAGGCTCGACCCCGGCCGACGTGTAAACATGGCCAGGTGTCGGCCTGTCCAATCGTCCGTGCAGTGGGTCACCCGCTGACTTGCAGGAGTGAACTGGTGAACCCCCGCATCCTGCAGGTCAGCACCACTCACCAAGTTCGTAGAGAACGAGGGGAGGTAAAGACCAGACTGGGTGCCAGAGGGGGGCGCCGGACACGGGAGGA